GGGAGAGTTCCCACCAGAGGAACCGGTTCCACGAGGTCTTGATGTGCCGCTTGCGTATTGGTCACACTCGTTTAACGCATCTATATTTACTTTGTAATGATGATACCCCGCGCTGTGAGCATTATGGCAAAACGTCGACTGTCCTACATATTCTGTGGCACTGTAGGTACTTGGATCAAAAACGACAAGTATGTTTTTCCACTATTTTTAAATGCCACCTTCCATTTCACCCCAAATTTTTGCTAGGAAATGAACCTCTTGTACCTTTCAGTAAAGTTTTGGAATTTCTTAAAATAACAGGCTATCTACACCTGCTATAACCCCTCCTTTTTCACCATCTTTTTTATTTTCAGATAATTCCTTATTGATTATAACTTTTATACTTACCTGAAATTCATATCCATATCTTTTACACGATTCATGTTCATACTTTTATTGTATCACCAGCTACTATAGCTCTGTCTTCTCCTTAACCCTTCTCCTGCAATAGTGTATGCACCTGGCGCATTTTGGCCTAGTTGCTCTCGCGCCATAAAACTCCAATCAATCAATCAATCATAAAAAATAAGGGGGGGAGGGTGTACACCCCCCTTAGGGGGTGTGTAGGGAAATCACTGGACCCAGGTCTTCACTCAGAGGCCTCGATGACCACATGTTTGACCCGGAACCAGACAACAACCGTGTCGTCCGACTGACCGAGCTCACGGCCTCATGCTACTTAAAGATGAGGCTACACCACCATGCGAGGCGATTAACAGAACAGAGTGTGGGTCCAAAGATCAGGTCAAAGAACTTGCGTACTGTGATTTTACTGGGCCAGTGAGAAGTTCAGTGAAGATTTTATTTACTTTATTTATTCTGTTCAAATTACACGCGATAAGGGATCAAACTGTATACATTATAATTTACTGGTTTAGCTGTTTGTATTGTTCATTAAAGCCAATTAAACAATTTATATACAGTTATACTTTGAGCTGGTGCTTGTTCCTGCTTGCCCTGACCCCCCGCCCAATAAGCGACTGATAAACCGATTCTACATTCACAGAAAAAGACTCCTATTTTATTGTATTTGTCCCTTTGTCGTCTTAGGTGGGAAGCAGCTGCCACAAATTTCGATATAGTCGGTCGGGTAATTTTTACTCTTGACAACCAATCAAGCTCCTCTTTGGAGGTCGAGATTCAGAGACCATCCTCACTAACTGGACAGTTCACCTATACCAAGGATAATGGCATATGTCATTATATTTGAAGGAAACTCTTCAATATATCGCTTGATTTTGGACTTGGAGAAAAACTCCCCATATATGGTGTGGAACCAACAAGGACTGAAGGAGAGCCCTCTAGCTTAAGTGATGGGCTCAGCGAGTACACACAATAGCTGGACAATTAGGTAACGCATTCATTCATACATATGCTTACTGTGCTGAATCAGCACACTGTACTCCTGTTTGTTTGAACAACTTTTCCTGGGAATAAATACGAATGTTTTGCTGTTATACAAACCTCAAATCTCCCATTGAATTAGTGACTTTCTGCGACTAAATTTGTGTCAAATGAAAGCTCTATTCGCTCCGTGCTGGAGTATGCAAATGCAGTATGAGATCCATGGTAACAAATGAGCATTGATATGTTAAACAATGTTAAAAAAAGTCCTTTGATTCATCTACAACCGATATGACAGGTGGCCATCCATATTGAAGTTGTACCAGGGACAGACTAAAATTGTGTTACCTGCTAATTAATTGCATGAATAGTCTGGACATTGGCGAATGATATGTCTGAGACAGTGGCATAGCCAGGATTTTCTTCTTTTTTTTTTTGGGGGGGGGGGGGGGGTGGTGGCTGGGACGTCCATGACTTGGGGTGTGAAGATAGGAAGGGGGTGTCAAAATGCATGTATATATTATAGGGTCAGCTGGATTTCGGGGAGGGGGGGAACGGAAGCCCATTGGCTACGCCCCTGTTCTGCGAGTAGCTTCTTTCAACCTACAGTCGCAGAGTGAAACAGGCTTTTTTCAGAGCTCGCTAACCTAGACTTCATAGAAAAGTCTTGTCAGCACACAGTCACTCCTCTCCAATGCGACATAAAGATTAATTCATTCATATCATCTGCACTCACACATTTTCATTATTAGTCATTATTCAAACTTGTCCTTATCTCGTTGTATCTTACTGATATATATATTTTTTTATTCTCTATGGTCACGTTGTATGTATGTGGCTTTAAGCTACTGCACACTTACCAAGCTGTTCAATTTATCTTTCGCTATTGGCAGTGCTAGAAGTACTTGAGTGTTGCCATGGCCTCTGTATGCATGGCTTGGTTTAGCGTCATAGTCTTGTTTCGTTAACATAGACACCTCCGCCTCCCCCCCCCCCCCCAAAAAAAAAATAAAAATAAAATAAAATAAATATATATATATATGTTTTAATAATGAGTGTTGTTACTAGTAATAAATCAAAGTAAAAAAATAAACATTATTTAACAACCGTAGCAAAACAAGTATTTGACATCAACGTTTTGGGATTTAAAGATTATATTTTTAGAAGCAGGGGTACTATATTACCTTGACGAGGTCTGTAGGCTGGTTGAAGATAGTGGGTATTGCACCTTTCCTTAGGCGCACAATTTTCCCCGTCCTATCGAAGCATTGTTCTTCAAAGTGGTCAGAGCAGACCACGCTTGTCTCTGAAGGCTCCCAGTTCAACCTGCCGACGTTTTGCACCCACAGCTGAAGGGTCGCGGAGTGACTTCGTGGAAACCTCGGGAACAAATAAATAAATATATATATATATATATATATATATATATATATATATATATATATATATTACAGAACATATCGCTGCGCGCCAGGATATACACAAAACACTGAATACTTACCGATAGTAAGTTCTCGCTTTTTCGCCGTCCGGGCGATTGGAGCAGTGCGCCGCACAACATGACGGCATAGTCGACCGCGCTCTGAGGGCAATTCCCGCGTTTTCACTTGTACGATGACAGCTGGTTGCACACGACACCGGCTAATACACTGCTCGGAAGTTCCCGCGTTTTGCAATGCACGATTACGATTGGCCAACTAATTGCACACGAGACCAGCTGACACACTGCTGATTTCGCATGACACTGACGACGCGCTGTGTGCGCTCTCTCGGTCGAGCGGAGGACGCTCTGGACATCTGGCTTTGACCAGTATGATCGGGAAGAGACATCAATTCACTTCGCTTAAATGCATTTTATTCAGAACGTCACAGGCGAATATAACAATCACTCACGGGCACATCGGTCTCTTGACCCGTATCCAAGCGTTCGAGATCGCAAGACTTCACCACCAACGAAATCACACCACCACCGATCAACGACGTCGAACCGCGGAGGTTCCCATTCCCGGTACGGCGTCTGCTTTCGATGCGAGTTGCGCTGCTTTCCCCCGGTTCTGCGCTTTCGTGAAACTTTCGCTGGGTCCTCGAAAATGGGTCTACCGTTCACGACGGGTTTCAAGAATCTGCTTCGTCGAACAACTTCAATCAAGGACGAAAAATCAGCCACGGCACCACGGCACTGTATACCAACGTTACCTGTGTACTAAAGTGAAGTTACATTGTACCCACGGCTATTTTTATGGCAGCCTGCCGCCATTCCGCTGTCCGCCATATTACTATAATGGCTAGAGATTATAGAACTCTACCTAAAGATGGCCGCCAGTGACCGCATTCCGGTCCATAGGAGGAGCTGGTCAAACGCGATCCAGCAAATAGACATAGAGATCAGTGCTCATCACATTGATTCAGTCAAATAACTAGACCGAACAGACGTTTAGTTAAAAGCGCTATATCATAGCTGTTTTAGTTGCTACTGGTAAAACTATTTTTGAACATGCTAATATTTTCAAGTATTTACGCTATTGACTAACATATTATGCGTAATACATTTCCGCAGCTATAAAATGTTCCTATCTTATTCCCCGCACAAAAGAAGTGATGTTAGCGCAAGGTTGTAGAAGGTTCCAATATTTGGGCTTCAACCGCTTCAAGTTTGTACGACACACAGCGGAACACTCCAAAAAACTCATCTTCCGCTGTACAGTTTCTGGATCCCTGAAAGAGGCACACACGACGTCTGGATCGGAAGGTCGAAAATATGTTGTGAAAACGAAAGAGAGACATAGAAAACAAAACGGACGACATCCGTGTCGTCTGTATTTTATTTAACGTCCATTTTTTGTTTTCTTACTGACGCCAACATGCTCAACTATACTCTTTTTCACCTCAGCTTATGCACCGGAGGTTCCACCTCTACAGGCCGCGCATTGGACAGTCACCGTCGCACCACCGCAAATCGTTCCTTCGCCATTTTTGAAACAAATATAAACAAAAAAAATGTCTACAAAGAAAAAGTTCTATACGAGCGTCGTAATCGTGATAATCTAATTATCTTAAATAGGGTTTATAATGTAGCACGTTTTGAGCTATAATTTCTCATGTCCAAATTTATTGGTGTGATTTTTTTAAAATACGATTTGCACGCAGTCAGTGCGGTGGTGACTGAGGCCGCAGTGACTGCGTTCGTTTGTTCACGGAAGAGCGAGTCGTTCACAAACGGAATCGCATTGTTAATAAATGCAGCACTCCCGACTTGGCTAACATCTTTTCTCAAATAAAACAATTGTACCGTCAAACTGTCCACTTAAACGGCGCAAGACTTGCAGCCTGAGTGTCTATTTCTCTACTCCTTTTACGCCACGTCATAGGAGTGTTGAATTTACGAACGCGTTCGGTTAACTCGGTGACGTCATGTTGTTGTTGTTGTACTCTGGGAATCGAATGCTCGACGTGCTTGGCTCGGATGCGTTCTTCTGCATGTTCGGATTTCTTTTACCACTTTATCGTTCTGTTTTCTTATTTTACGTAGTGTCTTTGTGGATATCGTTGAGGTAGTTCCTATGACTCCATCTCCACCGCCGTCGCGACGTAAGCCAGCCGCCACGACACCTATAAGTATGTGGAAGAAACATCGGCAAGGACGCAAGCTCTCGAGCAATTGCAAGCAAATGGTTCTTTCCGTGTACGCCACGCTGCGAGAACAAAACCCGGTCAGGTTGAGGAACGACTTGTACCAGCTGACGTCCGGGTATACTGGTGTCGGAGCACGGACAGTTGTTGCCATAAAGAAGGAAGCCGTCACGAATTCCGGACTCCTTCGAACTCCAACTGGTAAGCGCCCAAAGTCGGTTGGCACCCGTCGTCACCTGGTCCAGTACGAATATTTTGTGCTGTCTGCGTTGCGGTCGTGCGTGCACGGCTTCTTTCGAAGGAACGAAACACCGACCGTCACGAAGATACGCGAAGCCTTCATTGAAGCGCTGAAGGATGATGAGGTCGCCGTGGAACCGAGTTCATCGACTGTGTGCCGTATTTTGCTTGACATTGGGTTCGAGCTGCAGAAGAGGAATCTCAACTCTCTTCTTGTTCAGAAGGACGACATCCTTGTGTGGCGTGTGAAGTACCTCCGCTCGATCCTGAAGTTTCGGGCAGAGAGTAAAGTGATCTATTACCTCGACGAAACGTGGGTCGACGCCGGACACACCGTCAACAAGATCTGGGTCCACACGATGGTGCGTTCTGCCAGATATGCAGGAAATCGTGGCCTCAGCACCGGTCTCAAAAATCCATCTGGCGAGGGCAGCAGACTGATTGTGACTCACGTTGGAGGTGACGAAGGCTTTGTGGAAGGATGCCTCGACATTTTTCATAGAGTGAAGTCGGGCGATTATTACGACGAGATGGATGCCAACAGATGTGAATGTTGCTTTGACTTGTTCCTGCCCAAGGTAGAGCCAGGAAGCATTATTGTAATGGATAACGCTTCCTACTACTCAAGACGCGTGGAATGTGTCCCCACGAAATCTTCAACCAAGAGTGTCATCCAAGAATGGCTAAGCTCAAAGGGAATTGACTGGGACAAAAACATGCTCAAGGTGGAATAAAATTCCCTAGTCTCCCAAGTGCGACACAAGTTCCTCAGCTACCGAGTAAACACACGTGCTGAAACTCTTTGGTGCAGGGTTCTTAGGCTGCCCCCTTATCATTGTGAGCTAAATCCCATTGAGCTTATCTGGGGGCAAGTGAAGAATGAGGTTGCACGAAACAACTCGTCTTTCAAACTAAAAAATGTGAAGATTCTTCTCGAGAAGGCAATCAAGAATGTCACGAAAGACAACTGGACCGCTGCTGTACAGCATGTTAAGAAGATGGAAAGGCAGTTCTGGGAGAATGACTGTCAGACAGAGAGATTTCACCAATCATCATCGAAATCAATGCCGGAGATAGCAGCGACGTCTCCCATGAAGACGAAAGCTGCGATGAAGTTGTCTTTGGATTAGACCAGCCACACATTCCAGGTGTGGAGCCACTTAATATGTAAGCAGTGTGGCAAAGTGTTTCTTCTATGGTGCTCTCCGGGAACTGCTGGAGGCCGACGTGAAGCCTTCTCTGCGTACAAGGCGGCCTGCCTGTGTGGGCTGACTCCCGAAATCTGGTATGCAACCCTGTCTATTCCGAGACCGCTGCAGCAATACGACGAGGCGGCTTCGGAAGCCTACGTGAAGCCTTCTCTGAAAACAAGGTGGCCTGCCTGTGTGGACTGACTCCCGACATCTGGTATGCAACCCTGCCTCTCCGAGAACGGCTGCAGCAACACGACGAGGCGGCTTCGAAGGCCCACGTGAAGCCTTCTCTGCGTACAAGACGGCCTGCCTGTGTGGGCTGACTCCCAACATCTGGTATACAACCCTGCCTCTCCGAGAACGGCTGCAGCAACACGACGAGTCGGCTTCGTTATTTTGCACAGAAATATTAAACACAGAGCAATGTTCAAGATGTCGTTTCGTTTTCTTCTCGTCTCCCAGACTAGTATTGCGGGCTGGTCTGCACTCATCTGCTGGTTCCTCTTAGATTCAATAGATTCAATCTTTATTTATGCAACAACATACAAACAGTCGTTGCCCGGGAGCCGACACAAAAGGCAAACAGATTTGCCTCACGAGGTGCGCCCCCCCCCCCCCCTCCCCATCACAAATATCATACACACATGTCGTACGCATTATAACAGCATGAAAAAGGTACAGTAAAGATTACAGAATACACCTTGCAGAGCAGAATTCAATTTTAGGGCACTCCTGGCCCTAAAGATGCCAGAAATGCAGTTCGTTGCGGTGCACACGAAACGTCCGAGGTCTATTTGAACAGTGCAGGTCTATGCAATTTGCTTGTGTTACCAGTTTTTTGCTCATGCGCTTACATCTCATTGTAAACCTAGGACACAGGGCGTACACAAAAGGGCCTTTTAGTGTTTGTCCTGCGTCCATCCTAGGGATGTACAAAATACGAACTTCAAAAACTCATCTGTGTCACGAAGATGCAGGGCTGTGGCACTGCTAACAGAAGCTGTCACAAGGACATTCGCTAGGCACAAACGCGTGCTGGTGCTGTCCTGTAAATATTTTATAGTGATTCAAAGTATTAGACCTGCAATGAAGTGACATTGTTCCGTACTAGAATAAGTGGATGTGGGGCGGTCAGTTAGAGTGCCCAGATGTAGTACAGCTGCATCTGTTCTTTTCGAAGGTAAGAGAACTAGGAACAAACAATGCGAGCATTGTAACAGGAAACTGTGTTTTGAGCAGTATAGTACAATACCTAAATTGTTCGTTTTAGGGGCTTTTACCATTGGTGGGGGGGGGGGGGGGGGGGGGGGGGGGGGGGGGGGCGCGGGAAGAGAAAAAAAAACAGAATAACCAATGCTGTATATCTCCACCATTTGATGCTACAGTTCTTTGACTTAGAATGCTATATGTCAGTCATCGGAGCAAAAAAGCAGGGGCTTGAAGAGCTGCGGACAGTGGCTTGCAATGAACACAGAACATAAACCAGAGCTACTATGAATGTGATATACTCTTTGTTACAAACAATAAACCTTGTCGATATACTTGCAGGTTTCTTGGAAACTACCTATTTCTGCTCATATTAGACCACAATTCTCACCCACGTCCTTATTCGCGGCTTTGATGCAGTCGACGTCAGCTGCAGAAAACACGTTTGACACTATTTTGAGGATCTGCTGAGTAATCCCTCTGTTACAACAATCTGACACTTTAACGGTCATTTTCAAATCCTGTCGGACATCTCGCAGGCCTATCGGATGATGCAGCAGGGAGCCGTTCGCGGGTATGGTATCTGACGCTAGAGAGACTGAAATCGCAGGCTACCAGTTCAAGAGGCAAATAATATAAACTTTCTCAACAAAACCGCGGCCGTAACGTAAGGGCATGTAAACATACCAGGCAACATAAACAGGGCGAATGTTGTGCAGCAGCGAAGTTGCAAACGCGGTCCGCATGCGCACCTAGCCCAATTGAAAGCGATTGCGACGAAGCGCGACGATAGCTGCAAATCATATTTTCTCTGCATTACATTACCTTGTAGCTGTAGAAAGTCCAGCCAGTGCAGTTCTAAATCGATAGCACAGACGTCCGCTCCACCGCGAGCGACCGCTACGAATACGCACGCCACAAACCTGCTTGCAACCCGCTGGCTGAATCAAGCGTCAACATGCACTCTGGTTCCTCAGTGGGAGTGCCGGATGAGAACACCGGGCACTCTGGTTGGTCCGGCGCACTGATACAATTCTCTTTGAGGAGAATTCGCCGGTGCTCAAGTTGAGTGGAAAAAGAGTATAGTCACCTTAAAAACTTGGTTCACACACATTTTTTTTTTCTTTTACTTTTGAGTTTAAGGCTTTTATCGGCGAAAGGTCGGCACTCACCGTTGAGAGGCTAATTTGACCGATTGCGGTAAATTTCGACACCTGCGCTGCCCTAATCCCGGTGCATAAATTCTAGTAGCCAATCCAGCACATGTGTTCTTCGCAAAAGGCGCTTCGGGAAACGGCCTTCGACCCGATCAGACCTTGTCTTCGGTATCGTGCAAAATCTAAATTATTGCTCAAGAGTATTAAAAACGACGCTCCGTGTTGGCGTCCTCGCCTCTTTGGCTTGCTAATAAGGGGACCGACGTACAAAACCTATCTGAGCCAGGTTTTGTACCTCGGTTGCTTAACTGCTTAAAACGGACCGGTTGAGAGGAACGTTTATATGCTACCATCCACCCGGACATCTTTGGACGCAATTTCGCGCCGACGTTTTTGACTAGGCATAAAAAGAATCACGTGATGGACACTCGCTACGCCTCAACGCCCACAGCACAGTCACCGAAGTAAGGGCATTGCTGACACGCAATGCCTTAGACTTATGAAGACTTATTTAAAAAATGTATCGCTTACGACAATTATTGTCGTGGAAGATAAATTTGTTGAATGTCATTAATTATTCTTACGGACATGCAACTCGCAACACCTATAAATTTTTAAAAATGCCTTCGCCAAAGATATTATCGAAAAAAAAGCGACTATCCGCGTTTTCCCTTTGGTTTCGGGGAGAAGAACGCGGATCATTGAACGGCTGTTTCGCGTGCTAGATATCTTTTTTACACTAAGATTTTGTTCTTCAGTTATATCATACACAATTGACGCGTTTGAGAACATAAAAGCTGTCAACATTTGAATTTCAGTTGCCCCAGTTTGAAGAAATTGTATAACAAGAATGCGGATACAAGCCATGGTGGCAAAAAAAGGTATTGCGTTTTTCTTTTCAA